ACCCATATAAACCAAGTAAATCCATGGGCACACTCATATAGAACAGGTCTACCCCAGTGCCCAAGCCTTAACATTCATACAAACCAGGTCTACACTTGTACTTTAGTACCGGAATTAGTTTTTTGACCACTTTTCTTTATTTGTTGTATTTTTTACGTTCATATAATTTAATATTCTGTTCATATCATGTTTTCCATTCATTATTTCACACATATATTTGTGTTGTACCTGTGGGCTGCCACTCAGAAAAATATAATATTAGAGTTTAAGTAATAATACATTCAGAATGTAAAGAAAAAAAGAAACAAAAAGGAAGTGGGCCTCCAAAAACCACCCCCACCCTCCCATCCCATTCCCCCGACCCCACCCAGCTAACATGTCTCCATCACACCACCAAATATGATCACGATTCAGGCCCATATAATAAAAGTCAAAGAAACATAGTCTACATGTTGCTAAGCTATCTCATTGCCAATGGCAAATGCATCTGTTTTATCACTAGGCTATGTTTTAAAGATTTTATTAGCCTACCATTATTTTAATTCCCTTGTGTCATACGCAATAGTCTTTTTTGTGCATATGCACCTTTGATAAATGAGGCCCCTGCTGGTTTCTCAACTGCAGTTACATTAACATCCAGTAGGGGGAAGTGATGTCCATGGGAAAGAATATGTGTAGAGAGAGACAGATTTTGTGTCTGAAGTCAGTGAACAACCCCATGGTGTCAAAACAAACACAATTGCCTATTCAGAATATCAGTCCAAAAGATCCCTTTTCATATCATCCAGAGTAGAACTATTGCACACACACATGCACACGCACACACATTACACAAAACAAATAGATTTTCATGAATCATTTATGGATAGATGTAGATAATCTTTTCATAAAAAATTATGAAAATGCAAGTATTTCAAAAGAGCGCTGAAATATTTTACTTCCTCTGTGGCTGCAGAGAGTCTGGCATGAGGTTATAGGCAGAACTCTCTTTAGAAAAATCTCAGAAAAAGACTCCAAGAAGTGTCCATGACCAGGGCCGTAACTAGGTTTGAGTTATAGTGAGGTCCTGATAGATAAAAAAAAAAAAAAAGTTTGCATTACTGCATTTCTATACAATTAAAAAACGTTCAAATGCTATTCGGAGAACAGCAAAAATAAGCAAAAATGACCCCAGCCATTATCACCTTGGCTGCTGTAGGTTCATTCACCTCAATTGATCTACAAACACATAGCCTATTAGCAATACAACTGTAATGTTATACCCCTGAAAGGGGGGAAATATGAGAAATGATTCTCATTGACACGTAGCATCAGCTATTGTTCAGTCAGTTGTAATGATAAAATGATAAAATCATCAACTCTTTACATACTCAAATTTCCTCAAATTACATACACTAAGTTTACAAAACATTAGGAACACCTTCCTAATATTGAGTTGCACCCTCTTTTGCCCTCAGAACAGCCTCAATTCGTCGGGACATGGACTACAAGGTGTCGAAAGCATTCCTCAGGGATGCTGGCCCATGTTGACTCCAATGCTTCCCATAGTTGTGTCAAATTGGCTGGATGTTCTTTGGGTGGTGGACCATTCTTGATACACATGGGAAACTGTTGACTGTAAAAAACCCAGCAACGTTGCAGTTCTTGACATACTCAAACCGGTGCGCCTGGCATCTACTACCATACCCCGCTCAAAGGCACTTAAATCTTTTGTCTTGCCCATTCACCCTCTGAATGGCACACATACACAATCCATGTCTCAATTGTCTCGACGCTTAAAAATATTTATCTAACCTGTCTCCTCCCTTTGATCTACACTGGTTGAAGTGGATTTAACAGGTGACATCAATAAGGGATCATAGCTTTCACCTGGATTCACCTGGTCAGTCTATGTCATGGAAAGGGCAGGTGTTCATAATGCTTTGCCCACTCAGTGGATAGTGTTCACATTTGTATTCCTAGGCATTACTAATCAAGTTTCACACAAACATACATCCAAATGGAGCACACAGACAGTGGTGTAAAGTCCTTAAGTAAAAATACTTTGAAGTACTCCATAAGTCGTTTGGGGGGGTATCTGTAATTTACTATTTATATTTTTGACAACTTTTATTTTTACTCCACTACATTCCAAAATAAAATAATGTACTTTTTACCCCAGAAATTTTCCCTGACAACCAAAAGTACTCGTTACATTTTGTAAGCTTAGCAGGACAGAAAATGTGTCAAATTCACGCACTTATCAAGAGAACATCCCTGGTTATCCCTACTGCCTCTGATCTGGTGGACTCACTAAACACACAATAATAATTATTATTTATTGTTATTATTATTATGCTTCGTTTGTAAATTATGTCTGAGTGTTGGGAGTGTGCCCCTGGCTATCCATAAATACATTTAAAAAAAAACAAGAAATGGTGCTGTCTTGTTTGTTTAATATAAGGAATTTGAAATTATTTAAACTTTTACTTTTGATACTTTTATTTGAGCAATTACATGTATTTTAGATACTTAAGTATATTTAAAACCAAATACTTTTAGACTTTTACTCAAGTAGTATTTTACTGGGTGACTTTCACTTTTACTTGAGTCATTTGCTATTAAGGTATCTTTACTTTTACTTGAGTATGACAATTGGGTACTTTTTCCAACACTGCACAAAGATGATCGTATTATCACATTCACATGAATTATTAGAATATTACTTATGATTCTGTATTAATATCAGTGATGAAGTTCTAAAAAAAATGTGAGTAATGGATAAGATGAACATTCACCAATATAAACTAAAACGTATTACATTTTTATAACTGTATTGTTTGCATTTTGATTGCATTTTAATGTAGGCATATAGGGATGATAGGCCATGTGGAGATGTTCATATTGAAACATATCTTATTTTTTAAAGTTCCTAACTTGTTTGAAAAGATTAGTACATATATGGGGCCCAGACCCCACGTTTGGGAACCACTGTACTAACCTCTCTCTCTTCTTGCTTCCCCACTCTCTCTCATCTGCTTCCTCCTGCATGCATTGGAGCCTGCCTCAGCCTCGATCACCACTGATCGCCACACCAATGTCTCAGTCGCATGCTCGCTGTAAAGCAAAGTTATTATGATAACTTAGTAGCCTATGTTTTGCTCCTGCTGAGGTAGGCTCCGTTTAACGTTAGCTTCTTACTTCATCCTTCTGGTTGGCTAAGTAAAACTAGCCAGAGCTCTTCAACGTTGGTTAGTGCTATCCGGGGTCCTTGGGACGTCCCTCCCCTAACCCTAACCATAACCCTTACCTAATCCTTACCTTAACTATTTTACACTTCAACTATAATGCTTTAGGGACGTCCCAAGGATGCCGAATAGCTTGATCCCTTCAACGTTACTGCGATATAAGTCTCTGCCCGCAGCTAGCCACCTGACTGACTGACATATCTAGAAGCGACTATTTACCAGTTGTGCGCTCATTCTCAGAGTCGGTTTTTGTTTGTTTGAGGGATGTCTGTAGACACGGCAGGAGTCGCGGGACGGTTTTAAAATCGGCTTTTGTCCGGCATCTCGCAAACACTGTCAGCAGCCGAGCAGCATCTCTAGTTTTGCCTACTCAACTGAGCCGACTTCACGTCTCAGGCCCCGGCCTGTACCCCGAGAGGGCAGAGTTATCCGTTTGAGAGACTGGTGAATGTGCTACGAAAAAGGCAAATCTGGGGGACGAAGGTGAACATAACGAACACACCACTTTTCACAAAGAAGCAGTCGCGATTGGAACTCGGACAGATCAAGAATAATTGTCGGTGTCCTCATATGTAGTTAATGCCATGTCACATGACAGTCACATCATTTCAAAAGATTTAGCAGGCAATAGTTTCAAAAGATTTAAAAAAGCTAATGAAAGATAAACCAGAGTTACTGGAACCTGTGAAACATCCTGTTGCAGCAGCCCACAGATATGAGACACTGATCTTGCAAGCACTACAAGAACTGTAGATTGGTATCTTCACTTCTCTGCCATACATGAGACACATTAGATCGTATTTCTGCTCAACCTAATGTAAACCTAAACAAATCTGTTTTTTTTTTTAAATAAAGGATGTACTTTAGGTTTCCCTTTCACTCAGCAGTATAAATTTTTCTGAACTGCACAGATGTTCTGTGAGAAGTTCATAGTTATAAGGATGTCCACAGGGTTTGGTTATAGTTGAGGAGCATGACATTGCTGTACTAACTATGCTGTTTTATAGCATAAGCTCAATGTCCGTGATGAACACACATAAAGCAAGTCCCTGATCATATAGTATAAAAATGACCTCACAGCTAATTACATTATATAAAGAAAGCATTTTGTAAATATATGATAAGCACAGTCAGGTAGATGTTTTTAAATGCCCTCTCTCTTTAGCTCTCTGACAGCTGTTAGCGGTGCAGTATGGCCACTTACTGCTGTCTTTTCAGATGAAAAACAGTGATTGGATTCTGCTGAATTGCTCTTCACCCAGATAAGGTATTCTCATGCAAAAGCTTGCCCATGCATATCTGTGGACAACATCTTGCTCTAGAAGGGTTCAGAGTTGTGCAAAATAACTGCCATCAGTTTCATAACCATTTCTAAATGTTCACTAAATGTAAACAAAAAATATATATATATAAATATAAGGTCATTCTTTCTGTGATCGATTTTCATATTGACAACTGAGGTTACCATGACCTGCTACCAATAATAGTGATAAGCTCTCATTCAACCTTTTACATTCAAGTGTAGCTCAGTTGGTGGAGTATGGCGCTTGCAACGTCAGAATAGTGGGTTCAATTCCCGGGACCACCAATACGTGAAAAATGTAAGCATGCATGACTAAGTCACTTTGGATAAAAGCGTCTGCTAAATGGCATACAGTATATACTGTATGAGCCTATAGGGGCAAGGTTTGTTTCTGGACAGTGCGGGCCTACCTTTCACCTCAAGTGTACCTATTCCACCTTAATCATCCATTTTATCATTATATTTTGCAGAAATGGGTTGGACCTGTCTTCATCTTCAGTGAGCTGGATCCTTTGGGGGAAAAAACACCTACACAGATGATGACTGAGAAGCAGCTAGACATCCTCGGGCTGTCCAGGCTGAATGTGGAGGAAGACAGCAGCAGCAGCAGTGGGGACCAGGGCGCCTGTCACTCCGCTGGACACATCTCCATCGAAACTGTGATGGTATCTGGGGAGGAAGGAGCTTTGTCAGGGAGTTCTTGGGAGACCTACAAGTGCAGCCAAGGTGGGGGAAGCTTCTCCCAATATACTGGAGGCAGCAGAGGAGGTATGGACAGTGAGGTGGAGGGCCCTCTTGGTGCTGGGGCAGAAGAGGAAGGAGGGTTATGTGGGCAGAGTGGAAGACGGGCATCAACGGGCCTGCCTGCTATGGAGTGGCAGCTCCAGCTACAGGCCCGGAACAATCAACCAGAGCAGATTTCATTGGTCTCAGAGGACGGCTACCCTCCCATGATGCTGGATCTGGACAGTGTGGACACCATTGACAGTGGAGTCTTTGTTGAGTCTGACTGTAGCAGTCCTGTGAACACTAACTTTGATTCTGAGGAGCAGATAGACTCTGCTTTACTGAGTGGGGTAGGCAGTTCCCCTTCCGAATATGTCAAACAGTGGATGACAGGTAAAACTATGCAAGAGGACCCAACCAACTCAGGACAGAACAGAACAATGTGAATTCTCCCTCATATCCTCTGTCACTGACAGTGCTTCAGCATATTTGTAAAATGCCTTACTCTCCCTGGCATAGGTATATTGTTCATAATATTTTTTTAAAAAGTGGAGTATGAATGATTTCTTCCCAACATAAAGATTATTTATCATGGTAATACAATAATATTGTTTTACAATAGTTGTCAAAATGTGTTATGTAAATAGATGTAGATAAGTCATTTTGGCCTTCCCAGGCCTAGATTTTGGCCTTCATGTAATTAATTATTTTCTACGGCTTCATTTCTCATGCAATTTCCATGTAGATAGGATTTTGTTTTTATATCATGTTTGTTGTGCATCTAATGTTTCTTATGTATGTGACAATGGATCCAATTGAGGAGTTTGCATTCATTTTCAATCGCTTGTTAAATCTTTAAAGGTACAATCCGCAGATGCTACATCCATTTTTTGACTTATAAATTAATTATATTAACTCATTTATTCTTGAAGAATATCACTTGCAATGCCTCATGAGCTTAGTTCAACTGTCGTACCCCATCAGAACCCAAAATGTAAGCTTGTTTTATTCCAATGTTTGTAAACATAGAAACAAAAACTGTATAGCCTCAAAATATGCTTAAAACTATAATTTTTAGTTATTGGATTCCTTGCATCTATAGTGCTGTCTATTAATTTATGAGTGGTTACATTTCTCCAGGCCCATCCCTCAGCTTTTAACAAAACAGAGGCTGGGACCGCTTTGTTATTGTTTCAACTGAGAATTGCCCACTATTTATTCTCATATGCATGATGAAGTCCCATAGTGGTCAAATAATTCTTATTAGGTTATGGGAGCATTCCAACATTCAGATATTAGTCTCCTTTTTCTGTACGATACATAAATGCATCAGAATACAGATTTAGGTCTGCTTTAATGCAGTATTGTCATTGTATGCAAACTAAATAGATCATTTATCTTTGCCATTCTCATTTGCTGATAAGAAATTATAGCTACGCGTGACTGTAAACTAAAAGCTTGGCAGCGGTAGGCTACATCTGATAAATTGACTCGCCACTCTAGGTATCGGATTCTGTCATTTGGATATTGCAATTGCACTGTTATCACAATGAGTTAAACCACTGTTTAGTTTCCGTTAACAATCTCTGAGAAGGGTGAGACAGATTGATTTGACTGCACTGAAGAGTATGATAAATAATTTTTTATATGAATTTCAGGAATATTATCATAAACTATAGCTTAGTTCATTATATTCATGATGCTTGAATATGACTTATACACCAACACAAATCACCTTTTTTTATTGCAAGAGTGTAGTGTGAAATAGAAAATATTAGACATACAGTACCAGTCAAAAGTTTGGACACACCTACAGTTGAAGTTTACATGCACCTTAGCCAAATACATTTAAACTCAGTTTTTCACAATTCCTGACATTTAATCCTAGTAAAAATTCCCTGTTTTAGGTCAGTTAGGATCACCACCTTATTTTAAGAATGTGAAATGTCAGAATAATAGTAGAGAGAATGATTTATTTCAGCTTTTATTTCTTTTATCACATTCCCAGTGGGTCAGAAGTTTACATACACTCAATTAGTATTTGGTAGCATTGCCTTTAAATTGTTTAACTTGGGTCAAACGTTTCGGGTAGCCTTCCACAAGCTTCCCACAATAAATTGGGTGAATTTTGGCCCATTCCTCCAGACAGAGCTGGTGTAACTGAGTCAGGTTTGTAGGCCTCCTTGCTCACACACACTTTTTCAGTTCTGCCCACAAATGTTCTATAGGATTGAGGTCAGGGCTTTGTGATGGCCACTCCAACACCTTGACTTTGTTGTCCTTAAGCCATTTTGCCACAACTTTGGAAGTATGCTTGTGGTCATTGTCCATTTGGAAGACCCATTTGCGACCAAGCTTTAACTTCCTGACTGATGTCTTGAGATGTTGCTTCAATATATCCACCTAATTTTCCTTCCTCATGATGCCATCTATTTTGTGAAGTGCACCAGTCCCTCCTGCAGCAAAGCACACCCACAGCATGATGCTGCCAACCCAGTGCTTCACGGTTGGGATGGTGTTCTTCGGTTTGCAAGCCTTCTCCTTTTTCCTCCAAACATGACGATGGCCAAACAGTTCTATTTTTGTTTAATCAGACCAGAGGACTGCTCCAAAAAGTACGATCTTTGTCCCCATGTGCAGTTGCAAACCGTAGTCTGGCTTTTTTATGGCGGTTTTGGAGCAGTGGCTTCTTCCTTGCTGAGCGGCCTTTCAGGTTATGTCGATATAGGACTCGTTTTACTGTAGATATAGATACTTTTGTACCTGTTTCCACCAGCATCTTCACAAGGTCCTTTGCTGTTGTTCTGGGATTGATTTGCACTTTTCGCACCAAAGTACGTTCATCTCTAGGAGACAGAACGCGTCTCCTTCCTGAGCGGTATGACGGCTGCGTGGTCCCATGGTGTTTATACTTGCATACTATTGTTTGTACAGATGAACGTGGTACGTTCAGGCATTTGGAAATTGCTCCCAAGGATGAACCAGACTTGTGGAGGTGTACAATTTTTTTATGAGGTCTTGGCTGATTTCATTTGATTTTCCCATGATGTCAAGCAAAGAAGGTAGGCCTTGAAATACATCCACAGGTACACCTCCAATTGACTCAAATAATGTCAATTAGCTTTTCAGAAGCTTCTAAAGCCATGACATCATTTTCTGGAATTTTCCAAGCTGTTTAAAAGGCACAGTCAACTTAGTGTATGTAAACTTCTGACCCACTGGAATTGTGATACAGTGAATTATAAGTGAAATAATCTGTCTGTAAACAATTGTTGGAAAAATTACTTGTGTCATGCACAATTACTTGTGTCATTGCCAAAACTATAGTTTGTTAATAAGACATTTATGGAGTGGTTGAAAAACGAGTTTTAATGACTCCAACCTAAGTGTATGTAAACTTCCGACTTCAACAGTATTCATTCAAGGGTTTCTCTTTATTTTTTACTATTTTCTACATTGTAGAATAATAGTGAAGACATCAAAACTATGAAATAACACATATGGAATCATGTAGTAACCAAAAAAGTGTTAAACAAATCAAAATATATTTTAGATTTTAAATTCTTCGTGGTAGCCACCCTTTCTTTGCCTTGATGACAGCTTTGCACACTCTTGGTATTCTCTCAACCAGCTTCACCTGGAATGCTTTTCCTACAGTCTTGAAGGAGTTCTCACATATAATGAGCACTTGTTGGCTGCTTTTCCTTAACTCTGCGGTCCAACTCATCCCAAACCATCTAAATTGGGTTGAGGTTGGGTGATTGTGGCCAGGTCATCTGATGCAGCACTCCATCACTCTCCTCCTTGGTCAAATAGCCCTTACACAGCCTGGAGGTGTGTTGGGTCATTGTCCTGTTGAAAAACAAATGATAGTCCCACTAAGCCCAAACCAGATGGGATGGCGTATCGCTGTAGAATGCTGTGGTAGCCATGCTGGTTAAGTATGCCTTGAATTCTAAATAAATCACTGACAGTGTCACCAGCAAAGCACCCCCACACCATCACACCTTCTCCTCCATGCTTCACGGTGGAAACCACACATGCATAGATAATCCATTCATCTACTCTCACAAAGACACAGCGGTTGGAACCAAAAATCTCAAATTTGGACTCATCAGACCAAAGGACAGATTTCCACCGGTCTAATATCCATTGCTCGTGTTTCTTGGCCCAAGCAAGTCTCTTCTTCTTATTGGTGTCCTTTAGTAGTGGTTTCTTTGCAGAAATTCGACCATGAAGGCCTGATTCACACAGTCTGCTCTGAACAGTTGATGTTGAGATGTGTCTGTTACTTGAACTCTGTGAATCATTTATTTGGGCTGCAATTTCTGATGTTGGTAACTCTAATGAACTTATCCTCTGCAGCAGAGGTAACTCTGGGTCTTCCTTTCCTGTGGCGGTCCTCATGAGAGCCAGTTTCTACATAGCGCTTCATAGTTTTTGCGATTGCACTTGACACTTTCCGGATTGACTGACCTTCATGTCTTAAAGTAATGATGGACTGTAATTTCTCTTTGCTTATTTGAGCTGTTCTTGCCATAATATGGACTTGGTCTTTTACCAAATAGGGCAATCTTCTGTATACCTCCCCTACAATGTCACAACACAACTGATTGGCTCAAACGCATTAAGAAGGAAAGAAATTCCACAAATTAACTTTTAACAAGGCACATCTGTTAATTGAAATGCATTCCAGGTGACTACCTCATGAAGGTGGTTGAGAGAATGCCACGAGTGTACAAAGCTGGTATCAAGGGAAAGGGTGGCTACTTTGAAGAATCTCAAATATAAAATATATTTTGATTTGTTTAACACTTTTTTGGTTACTACATGATTCCATATGTGTTATTCTTGATATCTTCACTATTATTCTACAATGTAGAAAATAGTAAAAATAAAGAAAAACCCTTGAATGAGTAGGTTTATCCAAAATGTTTGACTGGTACTGTAGGTTCATTAAAATTTTATGATTGGTTAATTTGATAAATTAGATAGTAATCAACTCTGTCACAGAGAGGCATGCAGAAGGCGTGGAGAAGCAAACATCTTTGATATGATAAGAGGATCTGACTTCCTCTCGTCACGTTATTATAGTGTCATGATGCTTGACTTCACTCACTCATTCATTCTCTCTGAGAGATGCCCTATCCACAAGACCCACGCACAAGGTAGTATGGACCTTTCTCAGAAATGTTTTCCATTGTGTACTTTCCACATGACGTTAAAATGCATAATTTTGCACATTATACATGACTTCTACATGTTTTCCTGGTTTAGCCCTACAGACTCATGCTAAAATGAAGCTTCTGCTGGCACTTTGTGCCGTTTGGAACATCATCCAACTATCAGAGGGCTGTTCTTCTGGAGGTACAGTACAATAGTCCATTCTACTATCCATTTTGTTCATGTTCAGATTCATGTCCAGGAGTAAAATATCATAACGTAGTGGACATAGGTTGTGATAAAAGGGTGTGTTTCTTTCCAGAAATGACAGACCGACTCACCTGTGTATCTGATTATTGGTTTACAATTACCTGTACTTTGAGCATCACTGACAAGCCTGCAGGTGTCAACTACACCCAATACTGGTTGTATTTCACCTGGTCTGATGAAGATGGGTGAGCCTTCTTGTGTGATGATGATGCATTCTTATGTTATGAATCTCCTGGTTCTGTCAATTACATGGAATGGAGAGACGAAGACGCAACATTAAATAAAAAAATAGATAATGTGCACATGCTGAGGATAAATAATTTCCCATATAATTTGAATCACAAAAATCATATTTTTTCCCCCCACAGGATTACATTCAAATGTCCACTGGTGGAGATGGTGGACAGTTATGGTTGCACATTTGTGGCACATTTTGATAATAATTTAATGTATCACGGCTCTTCATTTAATACCATGGATTGTTTCCATGTACATCTTTGTTATAACATTGACTGCCAAATCAACTATGACAACTTGACAGACTTTGAACCATCAAAAAATAGTAAGTTCCCTGTGAAGATTATGTTGATTTGCAATGCATAGAAAATTGCATGAAATAAATATGATTGTGCAAAATATGTTTTTCTATAGCTGACCAATATGTGCAATGACTAACTCTATGTCATCAGTTCAACCAACAGCTCCAAGTCATCTCGCTGTCCAGTGGACTCCAGAGGGCTACAGATGCACTTGGCAGAGTGGATATGAACACCATACATACATGAAAGATTTCCATTACCAACTCTCCTTCTACAAATACCATGGTGATAAGGGCGAGGTAAAGTGCATTGTAATAAAAGTCATGCTTCAATGTCTTATTAAAGTCAATGGTTGTTTGCTAAATTATTTTCTGGATTTCTTTCTCAGGTTTTTCATGTGTCCACTCGAAACAACTCTCTTTTAATTGATGGATCTGGACTTGAGCCAGATACCACATATGTTCTGAAAGTGAGATCCGATCCAAATTCCTCTGAATATAAAGGACAGTGGAGTCCGTGGAGTGCATTGGTGCAATTGAGGACTGATGCAAAGGAAGGTGAGAGAGATCTGCTTTGGAGACAGACTAGTTAAATCATATACCACTCTTACCTATCTCCTTTTTGTTATTGTTCTGAAATATGCTATAGAGAAAGGACAGGCAGCCCAGTTCTGATATTTTTTCCACTAATTGGTCTGTTGACCAATCACATCAGTTCTTTTCACATCAGATATTTTTCAGAGTTTATCTGATTGGTCAAAGAACAATTAGTGAAAAAAATATCAGAATTGGGCTGCCTGTCTAAACACAGCCATTGATGCATATACTATTTTTCTCCTTCAGCAGAACCAACTATAGTCCTTGTCCTCAGCCAGTTTGTATTTCCAGTTTGTGTGATTGCTGGAGTTCTGTTGTTTGTATTTTACAACCCCACCACAAGGTAACTGGTCTTCTTCAGAAACCCATAAAAATACTTACAAATTGTGTCATGAGAGAGCGAGTCTGATTTGGAAGCCCACAAACACAAATCATTTATAATCATTTGTGCCATAGAATGAAGATAAAAGCTTTCTATGATGTGCCAAGCCCAGCCCCCTTTTTCCAGCCTCTGTACAAAGATTATAATGAAAGTTTCCAGGTAATGTCTACTCATTTATTTATTATTTTCCCAGTGGTCCTCATAACATCTTCAAATGGTCCCTGGGTTACAGTTCATATCTGAATCATTTTTTCTCTATAGGACTGGCTTGCGTCAGAGTGCAATCTGATACAAACCTGCAAGACACAAGAGTTCCTGACCATCGATACTTTAATTATTGAGGCCAAACCTATAGCAGAGGACCAGGACTGTTCAACTACAACACCATATCCCCTTGCACAAGGTCAAACTCCCTATGTTGGTCCCTCAGTGATGGACTGGGTCTGCAGTCACAGTCCAAATGGAAATGGTCCAGGGGACATCCCTTACACCCAGCTCCCCTGCTCTAGGGAGCTCCAGTTTGGAGATATATTCACCTCTTTCTCTCAGGACCCTTCGGTCACCTGCGAGGGTGACTCTGGATGTGAGGACTTAACACTCAGCCGTGATAGCAGCTTGCCTAATAGTCCTGTATCTAGTGAGCCAGAATGCATCTGTACTGATTACTGTATCCTACACGAAACCTCTAAAGGTTTTATCCCCACCGTTGTGCCCAAAGAGGTCTTTACTCATCCCTTGAAGAGTTATTGCATAGAGGGACCAGGTAAGGAGGAAACCTGTGCCACTGAGTGAAGTTACCAATTGTTACATCATATGCCAATAGGACACAGACTGCCTACCTCTTGGGTTGTGAAAATGTACTGAGCAAGGGGTGTCATAGTCTTTATAATTGACTAAATTACATAAGGTTTGTCTTATGATCATTTGCAGTTTCTAATTAGTAATTTGATGTATAATTGTGTATATAATACTGTAATTAAATGTGTTTTGTCTGTTTGAAATAATGTACATTTTTAAATGACTGTATCAATTGTGTTATAGTTTAAATAGCTATTTTGGACCAGTTCATTTCATAATTGTGGTCCTCTATAGCTCAGCTGGTAGAGCACGGCGCTTGTAACGCCAAGGTAGTGGGTTCGATCCCCGGGACCACCCATACACAAAAATGTATGCACGCATGACTGTAAGTCGCTTTGGATAAAAGCGTCTGCTAAATGGCATATTATTATATAATGCACTGATGGCACCACTAGAGCCATTGATCCTTCAGTATGTGAGTTAAACACCAGAGGATGCTGCGACTCAACACTTGCTACTGTCTAGAAGGGGAAATTGGCGAAGTGCAGTTTCTTGGATGACAATTTGAGCTATATGTAATATTTTTGAAGTATCTCAATAATCCTGTAATTACTATTTGAATTGTATTACATACTTGTTCGCTATTGCAAATAAAATGATACATTGGGTTTATATCTATTGTTTCCTATTTAGCAAAACAGTGGATGAGTAGCTATAGTTATCAGTAGAGGCAATTGCAACAATATCTATTTATAGCCCACCAATGGTCTTCAACTTGCTCAAAACAAACCCGCGTGCTACAAATGAACGAGAGTAAAATGTGCCGTTGTGATATGACGTCACGTTTCGGAAAAACGAACCAAGTACGTAGCTAGCTTGCTTGAGGACTTCCATCCATGGCAGCAAGCAACCACCTGGCCAGATTGTGAGTATCTGCCGGTGTTGCATTACCTGTCAGTTGGTTGTGGGAATGGGGAAAGTCCGGAAATTGTGACCTTATACTACTGACGTTAGCTAGGCAGCTTAGCGTGTGCTGGTAAGATTCATTTTCGGGGTTGGGTCTCACAGCAGCTACTAGTACTACTAGCTAGTTAGATTGCTAGCTACCTTAGCACATCCGTGTGTGCAGTTGTCTTCTCAAATTTGGATTGCAAAGATGTCTAATTTAAATTGATTGACAGACCAACACGTTTCAATGAACAGCCTTTCAGTATCTGCTACCAATTGATCAGTAAACTGTGGCAGCACTAGCCAAGTAAACTCAACGATGATAGAGTTCAGACGTCGAGTTTTGTTTGTTTTTTACTAGGGATTTCAGCACCCAAAGAATAGCCCGCACTTGGGTGCTGAAATCCGTCGTTTTTGATAAAAAAAACTTTATTTTATGTGACGTCGGAGCTATAGTCTGCCCACACTAGTCGTTGCTCAAATACATCGTAAATCGTTGAGTTTAGTCGGCTATATCTGGCTAGGCCTATGCTTCTGCAGCCATCTCTTTACATTACTTTAACATACACAAATGTGAATCTAGAAGGATGGTTCATTTAACATAGCTATGATGTTGGTTTTGGTTATCTGCTATGGTATTACCACCGACCTGTGCCATAAAGGTCAGACCTCTTGGCAAAGGATGTAGGCCAGGGTTCCCCAACTGGCGGCCAGCTGACCGAATTTGGCCTGCATTTGATTTTATTTGGCCCCCCAAGTTTTCTGAGCAACAAAAAAACGTATTTTTAAAATAACTTTTAAAATGTTTGACCACATAAGACATAAGCAAATCAGCTCCAAGTGATTTTTAATTTTGTTCCAAAGTATTCCCACGCATAATAGCGAGATATACTGTACGTGATCTTATACAAATGTAAGCAAGGTTTGAAATGATTATGTTTTAGTCAAATATATCTGTTTGGGCTTGTTGCTGTACATTTTTAGTCAACAAATTATTTGTAATTATATGTTCCAGCCCCCTGACCATCTGCTCAAGAAAAGAAAACGTCCCACGACTGAATCTAGTTGATGATCCCTGATGTAGGCCAATTACCCACACACATACAGAAGGCTACAGTCCTCCTGAGAGCTGTAATATTATAGGGTCATAGAGTACCACAGTCATAATACCCATAAAACCTAGCGGTCAATTGCTTTTCCAACATCCACCATATTTTCCCATTCACCAAATGTGGCAATCATAAAGAACTACAAATGCCATGATGATATGGACAAGACTGCCGAATCGAAACAAAGGTAAAAATCTCTGGATTAACTATCTAATGTTAGTTAAATGTAGTAATTAATAAATTGGCTACATTTCTTTAAAAGGACAATTCTGTGAACTGTCTTGTGCAAGTTTTAAATGGACACAATACCTGTTAGCAAAGGCGTCAGCTAGAGATGCTGTGCAGGAGCTTGCAGGGATTTGTAGTTTTGCATGATGTGTACTTTGCTGCTACTTAGCATTTTTGAATCTGAGAGTAAATAGAGCCGAATATATATTGATAAAAGTCACCTTTTACAGTAAGAGCTGTTCTATTCTAAATTGTACATTTCTATGTGCAAAGGGACATACCCTTCTGGTTTCTGTGGTTTATAGTGTTGTCATGGTGTTGGAGCACTGCCTTCCGTGGCAGGTGTCTGGAGTGGAAAGTACCCTACACCAGGGATCATCAACTAGATTCAGTCGCAGGCTGTTTTTTTCTTTTTTTCTTGAGCGGATGGTCAGGGGGCCGGTACATAATTACAAATAATTTGTGCACTAGATTCTACTCTGCTGAAATGT